ATCTCTATATGTTGATGATCTGCAGATTAGCTGTCGAGGAGCAGACATGAGATATGTGGAGAGGCAACTGCAGATGGCTCTGAATAAGATCCAAGAATGGTCAGACAAACAGGGATTTTTACATTTTCGAAACAGAAAACTGTGTGCGTGCACTTTTGTAGGAAGCGAGGTCTCCATCCTGAACCTGAGTTATATTTGAATGGTACAATTATTCCAGTTGCGCCTGAAGTAAAATTTTTAGGAGTGACGTTCGACCGAAAATTGACTTTCCTTCCCCATGTTTTAAACCTGAGAAAGAAGTGTCTAAAAACACTAAATATTTTAAAAGTGTTGGCGAACACCTCCTGGGGTGCAGAGCGTTGCTCCATGCTTCGCATTTACAGAGCGCTCGTCCGCTCTAAACTGGACTATGGCTCAGTTGTTTATGGATCCGCTCGGTCATCTGTTTTGTTAAAACTGGATCCTGTTCACCATCAAGGTCTGCAGATTTGTTCAGGAGCTTTCAGGACTTCTCCTGTCCAGAGCCTATATGTTGACTGTAACGAACCATCACTTTATCTGAGGCGTGAGCAATTGTCCCTTTTGCAATATTTTAATACTCTATCTCAATCTGAACATCCCAATAAGCTGTGCTTACTTGATAATGAGTGTAACACATTATTTGAAACACGTCCATCCTGTGTTCCTACTTTCCCTTTAAGAGTTCGCCCTGTCATTGAGAAACTCTCCCTCTCTGATATGCACCCCCAAGCAGTACAGAATTTTGAAATTCCACCTTGGGAAAATTCACGGATCCAGCTTCTTGATGTTTTTAAACATCACGTAAAGGCGAGCACTAACGAGATCGTTTACAGACAAATTTTCGCTGAGCACAGGCACAAATATAGCAGTTATCATCCGATATACACAGATGGATCAAAGTCAAATGATCATGTCAGGATGGCTTTTGTATTTGAAGATTACATGAGAGGGCAGATGCCTGCACCATGCTTTCTCAGTCCTAACATCTGAACTATCTGCTATATATTATGGTCTTTTTTACATCTCAAAGCTCTGCCACAAAAAGTTCATAGTTTATACAGACTCGTATAGTGCTCTTAAATCCTTGGAAGCTTTTCCCAACACTCAGAATCCTGTGGTAGTGGATGTTCTCAAAATTCATAGAAATTTAACGATACGAGGATATGAAATCCTGTACTGCTGGGTTCCCGGGCATACGGGAATAAAGGGAAACGAGCTTGCAGACATCGCGGCAAAATCTGCTGTCGAACTGTCCAGTCGCCTTATCCCTTTTAGAGACATCTGCTGTGTCATCAAGGGAAAGATACGAAAAAAATGGCAGCAAATTTGGGATGTTCAGCATCACAACAAGTTGAGAAACGTCAAGCCTAGAATTGAGCATTGGGATTTTGCTGGAAATCGTAAAGAGGACGTTCTTTTGACTCGACTCAGAATTGGTCACACCAGAGTCACACATAGCTATCTTCTCAAAGCTGAAAATGAGCCTGTTTGTTTTAATTGTAATGTTTGTTTATCTGTTCGTCATATTTTAATTGAGTGTCCATGTTTTAATAGTCTTCGCCAGAAATATTTTAATAGCTATGACTTACCTCTCGACCGTTTAATCGGAAGAGAGGTCAATTCTAATTTATTTTATTATTTAAAAGAGATTGGCTTTTATTACCAAATGTAATTTGTTTTGAAGACTGTGTCTTGAGTGTTAATATGTGCTTTTAACTTGTTTTTATATGACTTCATCCTCTGGATTTGGTACATTTATCTACTTGTTTTTATTTATTGAATTTTAATGTCATCAATTGTAATCATCTCATCTTTTGTTTGGCGCATCATAATCATCTCTGGTTTTTGCGCCATAATCACTCACTCACTCACTCACTCACTAACCCAAACTTCTATGCCACCGAAAAGTCTGTGGATTACACTTTGTTCACCTAAGCTTCTTAATTGTAACCTTTCTGCTGCATACCTGCTTATGTATGAGTTTTGACTTCCGGTGTCAATTATCACTCGAACAAATTAGTTATTCCCTCTTCCATATATGCGAACAACTAAAGTTCATCCTGCTTGATTTGAAAGTACTTTATTTTCTATCTCTTCGTCTTTTTTAATTTCCGAAACCTCGACAGAAGGATTTTGTTTATTACACATAATAGTTGCATGTTGTTTTATACAAACAGAAATTATTTTTGTTCTACAGTTTCGCGCCAAATGGTGTGGTTTTAGGCATTTATAGCAAGCATATTTCTTTTTTAAAAATGTCCCTTTTTTTCATGTAATGATAAGCTGGAAACGAAACTACAGTCATAAATCTTGTGGAATTGATTACAGAAGACGCAGTTCATATTTTCCTCCCTGCATTCGGATTTTGTAAACAAATCTGTAGCGGTCGGAATCTTTGGTTTATTATGTCTATTTGAGAGACCATATGCGCTTTTCGTTGCAGGGGGGGAAGAAGACTGTCGCCGATCGGATACTTTTTGCTGTTGCGAAACCGTTGACCTTGTGCGTTCACGGGATGAAAGTTCTGCGTGTAAAAATGACATTAAATCTTTTATGTTATAATCGGTGCCAACATTTTGTGTTCTATGAAATTCAAGCGTTAATTCTGAAGGCAATAACTTCAAAATCATCGGACACAGCAAAGCGCTGTAAGATTCCGATACAACATCTAACGCTTCGAGACATCTAATCTGTGTTTGTACTTTATCATACAAGTTACGAAATGTTTTTATGTCATTCGCATTTTTTAATGATTCAACATTCAGCAAATTATTCATGTGCGCATTAATAAGAATGTCTCTCCTTCCAAAACGGTCGTGTAAGATTTGAATTGCTGAATCATAATGTTTTCGGCGATAACGGAAGTCCTTGAACGCAGCTAGCAGCTGTTCCTCCTAAATATGCTTTCAGGTAATTAAATTTGTCTACTTTGTTCAATGATTCGTTATTATGTATTGAGGACTCAAAACTATTCCAAAAAGTAAGCCATTGACTACTGTTCCCATAAAATACGGGAATCGAAAGTTTTGGTAATTTAACATTAGGTGTATCTTTTATATTTTGCTGTGTGTTCGGTGCATTTAAGTCATGATTAAGTTCCTTAATCCGTTTCTTAAGCCTGAATTTCCATAACGTTATCTTCTCGCGATATTGTTCTGTAATTTCGAATTCATTTTCGAATTCATCTACACTCAGAATTGGTTCAACTTCCACATCGGCATTAGATAGCGTTTCGGTTTTAGCATTAAGCTGTTCTAACAATTCTTCGAGCTCATTAATACTACCTTCAGATTTATTTAATTCACTTTCGATTTTCTTAAATAGTTTTGTAACGGCAGTTCTTAAGATACTTCTTTTTCTTTTTTAATTTATCTACTTCAGCCATTATCTTTCTTAGATTCAAACACTTACACAAAAAATATACGTCTCATGAAAAACAAATATTTAACTCTTACTTAGAAAACAAAATTATTCTTTTGCTGAATACTTCAAGAACAAGTATTAAAATCTTCAATTTTAATATTCAGCTTTTGAATTCACTTTATTAGAACTTTTCAAAAAACCTGGCGTCCCTGTTCGGGCGCCATAAAAATGTTGCATCAGGTTCTTCTATTTACAGTAAAATTAATGTAAAGTTCCTTACCTGCTGCATCTTCAGTGTTCTCGATGTCAGGCTTCTAATAATCATGTTTTCCTGTAAGAGTTTCTATTAGAATTAACAGGCCATCTTGTCTTTTACTTATTTATTGAAATAAGACACTAATATACACTATTTACAAGGTAGGTGATAATTATTTTAAGACAGTACATTTTAATGTTTTTCTGAGTCTGAAGATTCGTCTTTACGCTCCTCAGAGCGGTTCCAATCTACCTCGTTCTCGGAACTTAATTACAGCAAAAGTAAAGGAAGAGATGCCCGCCATCTAGTGGCAAGATGTGATAACCTCATGGTTAATCAGACTTCCAATTTAAAAAAAAAAAAAAAAAAAAAAAGGACGATGAAACAAATTCTCTGAGGATCAGCCCGCCCAGAAAAACGTGGGCTTCAGCCTAGTTCCTTCAACATATTCACTAGCCAATAACACGAAGAGAACCCTTGTTGCACTCAGTCTGGTTCCTTCAGCTTTTATCCCAAGCCACGGGAAAGCTTAATTCACCTCCTTTTTTACTTTATGACATTTCTTTTTGGTGGAAAAACCTGCTCTTTTGCTTCTAGTGTAACAATTTTTAAAACCTTGGTAATGCTGAACTATGGGACGCCTCTAAATTCACTAGTGGTTCAAATTAACTATAAATTAATATTCACCCAATCAAACACTTATCTTGAACTCACTTTGTCAAATGAGAAAAAAGGTAATAATTTACCTCAATTTCTAAGAAAATTCTTACCCTGTTTCAAAAGTGACATACCCGTTCTTGTGCTAAATCTCAAGGAATGTAACTCTTACCATAAAGAGAAAAGTCAAAGTTGCAACATGTGTAGTGATAAACACAACAGAAAGTATTTGTTTCAGAAGAAAGCCGAAATTTTCCTCCTTCAATAAGCAATACACATGTTCAATTTGGAAGCAAAGGGGGGCGGCGGCAGCACAGCTGTTCCCTGGCCTATGACCCCAATTGGGTAGTCGCATGGGAAGGAACAAACACTCACTTTTTAGCTGTACAGTTCTTTTCGTTAACTTTTTAAGAAAGAGTGTATTCAATGAAAAATGAGTTTAAATAAGAATGCATTAAGAATTAATTCACAAATATTAACATTATGAATTCACTATGCACTGTAAATTAATATGCAGCATTCTTGAAGAAAAGCCAAAGAATTTATAATTATTCACTATTTTGCTATTTTATCTTGTTTTTGTTTCACTTTTATTCTGTATTAAATATTATTCCTGTTAATAAGCTTGCCATTTTTTTAAGATTTAGTTATATTAATTATCCCTTGATTATATTTATGTGTATATATATTGTTGTTTTTGTAGAGTGATGGCCATACCTGCAACAGTAATATATTTTACCATGTATGAACAGATCCGTGATAATACAATGAAAACTCTGGTTCCACCATTGCATCCTTACTGGGTTCCTATGATGTCTGGAATTAGTGCAAGAGGTAACCAGAAAGGAAGAAGTATTTTGGTTGTTAAAAAGTTTCTGTACTAACTTTTGATGATGATAGATTAGTGTGTAGTTTGTAAAGCTGGGAAAGAAAATGCATTTACTTTCCCCTAAATGTTTTCATATGTGTACAGAAGTGATACTATTTTATTTTGAATTTTTTGTCATATAAGTATGAAATTGGTTTTATAAAATAGGATTTTTCTTTGATATTTTGTTTCTTATGTGTTAAGTAAGTATGTACTACTTTTAATTTCAAATTCACAAAAATATAGGCCAGCAAAATTTATGATGTTATTAACAATTTGTGTGATGAACCACTTCCTGCATGGGTGTGCAAATCACCTCAAAGTTTCTGGTATTTTATTATTTATGCAGTCAGTATTTTGAAACTGTAATACTTTGTTACTAATTTGATAGTCATGCCAAAAATGCTTTTGGGTGGCAAGTTGAACGTTTTCTATCTAGTCTACATCCAATGAAGGAAACTTATTTGGGAAGGCATGCCACCATAAAGAGAAAGGTAACATAGCAGCATGCTTTCAATTTGCAATGCTGAAATGTTTGGATAGTGAGCTGACACCAGAGAGTAAGCTTTTGCTTCTCAATCTGGACTCAGTAGCAGGGAACAAGGCATATGTAGAGGGCTAGCCAGAAAGTAAACGTTTTGGAAAAAAAAATAAACAAAGTATAGGAAACAAATTTTATTATATACAGATGAAAGCCACACTCAAATACTACTTTTCTACATAGTCACCATACAAATTAAGGCATTTATCGTAGCGATGTACGAGCTTGGAAATTCCTTCGTCGAAAAATTCGGCCGCCTGCGCCTTCAACCACTTCGTTACCTCTTCTTGCAGCTGTGCGTCGTCATCAAAACGCTGCATAGCCAGCCACTTCTTCATTGCTGGGAATAGGTGGAAGTCGCTCGGTGCCAGGTCGGGACTGTACGGCGGATGAGGAAACAACTCCCACTTAAAAGATTCAAGAACTTTACGAGTGACATTTGCCGTGTGGGGCCGGGCGTTGTCGTGAATCAACAAGATCTTAGAGCTCAACATTCCTCTGCGCTTGTTTTGAATTGCTCTTCTGAGTTTTTGGAGAGTTTGGCAATACCTTTGAGAGTTTATTGTAGTGCCTCTTTCCAGGAAGTCCACCAAAATTACACCTTTTCTGTCCCAAAAAACAGTCGCCATCATCTTCCTTGCCGACATTGTTTGCATGCATTTCTTGGGTTTTTGGGGAGAACTTGTGTGCCCCCACTGCATTGATTGCAATTTCGTTTCACAGTTCACATGTTTCACCCATGTTTCGTCACCAGTAACGATGCGATCGAGTAAAGAGTCACCATCCTTATGGTAAGCGTCCAAAAAGTTCAACGCTGCAGCCATTCGCTGATTTTTGTGGTCCTCTGTCAAGATTTTTGGAATCCATCTTGCACAAAACTTGTGGTAACCAAGCTTTTCGCTGATGATTTCGTGCAACAAACTTCGCGAAATTTGTGGAAAACTCAAAGAAAGTTCCGTTATTGTGAAATTTCGATTTTCACGGACTTTAGCATCGACTTTTTCGAGAAGTTCGGCGGCGGTCACTATGCTGGGTCTCCCACTTCGATCTTCGTCGTGAACATTGGTTCGGCCATTTTGAAATCTTATGACCCACTGACGCACTCCACCTTCAGTGATAATGTTGTCCCCATACACTTCACGAAGCTGCCGATAGATTTCTATCGGTTTACAGTTTTTTGCAGTCAGAAACCTTATTACTGAGCGCACCTCGCAGCTCGCGGGATTTTCAATTAACGCAGACATTTCAAACCGTCACAGTATCTGAACGGAGCACAGCACGAACCTCTCACTAGCACGGCTAGATGCAGACTGAGCTGCGCAACGCTCTGACCCCAAGATGGCCGCGCTAGCCCCGCCCCTAGCGGACACAGACGGAAACGTAATCTACTTCCTGGATGGCCCTCGTATCAACATCTAAATATGCAATTTTTGAAATGGGAATTCTGAGCATGCATTAATAATATGGCAGTCAGTAATTTGTCTATAATCATGATTTGTTGGCAATGCATTGTGTAATCTATTTATATTAGATAGTATATTATTGATAATTGCTGCATGCAGCCTTACATCCAACTTACACCTACCACTCCCAGCCACAAATATAGAATCATATAAACGATTCATCATTAAGCACCCACCAGCGGTCAAAAAGATCTGCCAAATAATAAGGCAGGTCAAGCACCCTAGGGCAAGATATCTGCCAACCAAACTAGCGTGCATTAAGGTGTCTCATAAAGCAACCACAGTCAGCTTTTACTAGCAAATCATCAACAGAATTCTGACAGTCTCTTATACTGACAATCAGCTGATGCCAACTTACAATATGTTTAAATTATGTGCTGCGCTTATAACATAACTGCACTGCAACATAACTGCAGACATAGCTGCTTACTGCGTACAGTACTCACTTACAACGGCGTATAGAGCAAACTACTGAACTATGAACATATCTGCTATTGTGTCTCATATAGTAGTTACAACTACTGACATAGTATTTACAACGACTGAAATATCTATAGAAGTATTTCCTGGAATAACCACGTTATTACAACAACTGCAAGTTATATATCAGTGTATAAGGTACTGTGCGCAGAGTAATTGGAACGCCCTGACAAATCGTTGTACAGAACTCATCAACAGTGTACAGAGCTCAACACTGACTAATCACAGATTACTACTTGCATGTCCTGCTAGTCCATGCTTAACTGAACAGTGTAAAACAAATGTGTATCCGACTTTGCATTGTGTAACCATTCTGTAAGCATTGTGTATATAACAAGCATCATGTATCTATTACAATACTAATATGCACTGTGTATTCTACAACTAGTGTTTCTCCTACAGTCATTGCCAGTACTGTATTACACAAACGCGTTATACAAACTATCTGCAATAAATATGCACCTCATTCTGCACTGAATTTGTCAAATTCTGCACAGTATCTGCTGTATATAAAGCATATAATTACTATGCAACTATCTACATTGCGTGTGCACTACCTGCAATACCTTACAACCTGTTGTGTATCTGACTTTGCACTGTGCATTTGTTCTGTGAGCAATGTGTATATAAAAAGTACTGTGTACCTACTTTAATCCAATAAACATTGTGCATCTAATATAATATAAAATAAGCTCAGCGCATTCTATAACATAGTGTCTCCACTACATTTATTGCCTGCACATCATATCTGTATTACTCAAACTATCTGTATTATATCTGCACTGTATATGACATATGCATAATGTATAATTCATCTATATCTATCAATATTGTATCTGCATTACCTGTATAATCTCATAGCTTCGCATAGAAATATATAGCTTGGCAACATAGCATGCATGGTGCTGCGTACTATAATTGTGTGTATACAATAGTATAGATTTTTTTTTTTAATGTGTAAGTATAATTGTGTTTATATAATTGTGCACAATTGTGTTATATACCATAGTATAGTGTTTTATTCTGCGTTTTAATACGTTAGTATAATTTTGTTTGCATAATTGTACACCATAACTGTGTTGTATATAGTAGTATAGTGTCTTATTCGTTTGTACAATTGTGCGCAGTATAAATTCTAATATCTAATGCTTTACAGCATAGTGTATCTGTTTTTACATTGTGTATCAATTCTGTAAGCATTATGTATATAAAAGCGCTGCATATCTATTCAAATTAAATAAGTATTGTGTACCTGATATAACATATTGCATAATGTATTCTCCAGAGTAAAGTTTCATCTGTAATTACTATATCATCTAATAACAAAATTTAATATTCTACAGTGTGCCTGCATGCTTTATGTATGTTTTTTGCGCATTTTACATGTGATATGTGATCTAAATGTGTCTAAATGATCTAAATGTGTCTTTAGTGTAAGTGTATACTATATATTAGCTTAAATATGTTTCATTATAAGTATGTGTTTTACTTGTATAAGTGTGTGCAAACTAGTATCTAATTTCTTTTTTATATAATGTGCTTACATGTTTTATATGTGTTATATATGTGCTTTTATATGTGTTTTACAAGTGTTTTGTATGTATCTTTATATGTGCAATTGTATGTACTTGTATGTGTATGTATATGCTGTAATTAGTGTCTAACAGTGTCTAAAAACCAAGATGTAACAAATCATCCCCCTATCGATCAAAACTAATGTATTCCTAAGACGCTTCTGTATGGCCATGTACAATTACGTAAAATTCTTCAATAAACTCCCAAGGTGGCCTCATGAGGCTCCTGGGAGTTGCTGCCACTAGATATGGGAGGGCGCGGGACATATGCCTGTTTACCTCTGTTAAACATCAGGCGTCCCCGTCCTCCGTCACCTGTCACCTGCATGTGACTGTTTGTCTATATGCTGATTTATAATAATTGGTGATATTGTTCAATTTTGTATTTGGTAATTTTTATGTATATCTGACTGTTACAGAGTAAAGTTTTATGTCACTTTGGCTAGGGGTGCTTTAGTCATTTTCTTGTTGCAGAATAAAGTTTTGTATCACTTTCAGCTAGGGGCAACTGTAGTCACTTTCAATTGACTGGCTAGCCCTATTTACTAAAACTAGACTGAGTACATTGTGAAAAACCATTAATTTCAAAATAGCAACAGCACAATAATGACCTTTCTGTGTATAAGAAGTAATTAACAGGACTAGCAGAAATTACCCATAAGCTCTAATTTATAGTCCAAATTCTAGCTTATTGGTAAGTAAATAAAATTATTAAATGTTGATAGTTCCATTCAGTATTCAGTTGCTAGAGAAATAAGCCGCTGTAAATTTTTCATAAATTTCTGAGTAGGTAATGTAAGTTCCCTGGAAAGCTGTCTTTTGCTGAGATGGCTAGTCTTCATTATTTTTCAATGATTAACTAATTAGTTTTAAACTTTCTGTTGCCCAATTTTAATTTTGATGTATTATTTTACCAAACACTTCCCTTCACTTTTAAGATCACCACATTTTGATAGGATTACAGCTATGAAAACTGTTAACAGATTTAATTTTGCATGGTTTGATGTAATCTTAATATTTACTTCTGTTATTTCAGATGTATTATCTTGCAAATTATGTTCTTTTTTAAATAAATATTTTACAGCGTTTGTTAATAGTAGTTAGCATTGTTATAACTAGTGATTATATGAGTAGGAGGGAAGAAAAAGAGAGATCTGGGGAGAAATTTCATATACCTGTAGAACTGCTCAAAATAAAATCCTTAGTATATGATTTATAAGTCCTATACGAAGGTTATCGCAGAACTTTTCTGTTTTGATTTAAACTCATAAATCTTGAATAATAACTTAAGTCACTGATGCATTAAGAAATAATTCAGTTTGAATGAATACTTTTATTGCATCAAGTCTACCTAGCTATAGATTATAGTCATCTGCATAATATGATGGAGGTCCTTATCTTGCTGCAAAAAGCTCTTTTGCCCAATGAGGCATAAATAAGATTTTAATTGGTCTCTTGATGTCTGTTACCATGTTCTTGCAGAACTTAAATTATGTTATTGGAATGTTGTGTTGCTATTACTCCAACTTAATCTTAAATGGGCATTTGAATTCGTTGAATATAGAAGTTTGATGTAAATTTTGGAACAATATTTTAACCTTATATGCAGTGTTACATAGATCATTGCCATGTGGAAGAGCACTTTAATTCTTTGCCACATGTCGTTCATGCCACAAGAGCACAAATTTTTTTAGTTTTTCCTAAATTTAAATTTATTCCTGCTGAGGTATTTGATATTTAGAAATGGCAGAACCCCGGAAATTAAGGCATTGTGTTCCACTTTTATTGTTGTTTGTTGTTTTAAAGGTTGTTTTTAAAGGATTCAAATTATGGCATATTTAACGTGAAAAGTAACCCATCAGAATTCATTATTTAGATTCTAAATAATATGTATACAGCTTTGTTTTAAAGTAAAATTAGGAAAACATTATCGATTTTTGCTGTCATTATAGCTTTCTGACAGTGCAAATGGAGACTGTCTTGAGCACGGCATGCATTTGATTTATGATGGTATCAATAATTCTTGTACCAGCTGTAGGAATGTTTTTCACCTAAGCTGTCTAAAAACTGATAAAAACTGTGTGTGTTGTTTAATGCCAGCACATATGCTGGGAGTGAAAAGGTCCTTGCCTGATTTTGTATCTGTTTGTGAGAAAAGTTTCTCATTTTCTGATTGTGTTCCATCACAGATGATTTCATTTGAATTCTGTGAAAGCTAATTACGTATTTGTATGAGATCTTTATTGTAAACATGTACACTGGGATGGGTGGGTCCTTGTGTAATTTTATATATGTATGTTTGTGAGAAAAATTTCTCATTTTCTGTTTGCATTCAATCATAGGCATTTCGATCTCTGTTTGTATAGTTTTTCAAAAAAAAAAAAAAAAAAAAAAAAAGATTTTATTGCAGTGTATTAGTTTAGGACTCTTAAAGTAATTATATGCTGTAGATAAATTATATGTATATAGATTTTTTTTGGGCTGACTTTGAAAATGCCATGCAAAGAACTTAATATATCCGATGCTCTGTTTGAGAAGATTCCCTCTGATTCAGAATCTGTGATATCCAAAAATTAAAATGATGAAGAGGAAATTATTCTTCTTCTTGTTGATGGAGACTGCATGGTTATTAAGACTACAGTAGAGCAAGAAGGAAGTGATGAAGATGTTGAAATGGACTTGCCAGATTCTTCAAGAGCTATGGAAGGGAATGGGAAAAATCTTCAAAAGTCTGTCCCTGACTACTTGGTCCCCCAGTAGAAACATGGTCCCCCAGAAGAAGTTACTGACATGGATAATCCTTCAACCATCAGTATATTTCTCATAATATTTACTGGGGCATTTATCCAGATAATTATTTTCAAGCAAATTAATATGTGACACAGGAAGATAAAGATTCCTCCCATTACTACGCATGTATGCTTTTCTTGAAATGAACTTTTTGATGGGAGTAAATAAACTGCTAAGTTATAGAGATATTTTTCCTAGCAGTGAGATTTTTTATGACCCATATATATCAAAATAGATGTCAATAAAGAGATTTGTGGGGATTTTAGGACATTTGCATCTGAATGACAACATTCTTGTGCCAAAAAGAGAAGATGAAAATTTTGATAAACTGTATAAATTGCATCCACAAGTTAAGTCACTTGTCTGAACAATTTTTTGTCAATAAGTAGATGAATCGATCTGATATAAAAAAAGAAGTTTGATAAAACAATTCATGGAAAAAAAAAGTAGTCAAAAGAGGATACAAAGTTTTAATGTATTGTGATGAAAGTGATTATGCTTCACTGTGTTGTCAGCTGTACAGTGGGAGGACATTAATCCCAAGTTCTTATTATCCTCTTCCTTTCCTCACTCTTGACTGGAAGATTGTCTCATTGCTTCATGGCTTTCAAAAATAATATATTTTATTTCTTATTCTTCAATAATCAGAGGTGGAATGAATTTTTTTTTTGGGAGGGATACTTAGATAATTTGAGAGATTACTTTGTTGTTTATTAATAAAAATAATGCCTATGACTAAAATTATTCTTACCTTTTATATTAATTATAATTTCAGTTCTGACTGTTACAGCTATAAGTCCTATAGAATTTTTACGCACTAAATTGCAGTCAGAAAGGGTAAAATATTCAGGTAAATATACACTTTCATTTATTAGTCTTTTCTAAATCTTATCGATCCTCATTAATGAATCTGATTTTATCTGTGTTATGGAAATGTGTGTTGCCAAAGCCTGTAATATTATAATTTATATTTAATTATGGCTCATACATGCAAATTACACAATTTGTATTTAATTATGTATACTTGATTAATTAAAAATTCCTTCAACTATGTGTTTTTTTTTTTTTTTTTTTTTTTTTTTTTTTTTTTGTATGCAGAGCATTTAGAATTTATCACCATGATATTACTTATCTTCACACTGTGAACTTTTAAATAGTTTGCAATAAAAATTAAAGCCTAATCTCAGTGACATGTCATTTATGATGGCAAAGAAAGCTAGTTATATTATTAAAATCTGCATAGGAAAGAAAATTTAGTGTAAGATAAAATGCTATTTTAGTGTTAGATATGAGCCAATCAGGAAGTTGTTTGCAAAACCCACCTGTACATTCAGAGAATTGATCTTGGAATGCATGTGGATATGTTAGCATATGAGTTTGAGATTGCCCATAAAATTTCAGTTGCACATGTTAAAATCACCGTATGTAAAAATCACATCATCTAAGAACACCACATGGGCCGCAAAGGCTGATGGCAGGGCACTCTATTACAGAGAACCACCGACTAAATCCCAAGTACAAAGGATAATCTGTTTTCAAACTTGAGTTCTATGGTATGGATAAAAACATTCTTCATTGAATGGTCTCCAAGTGATGGGTTGACTCATATTTATGCAGCAAGCAGTAGTTCTTATATTGCTTGTGTTGGGTTTGTCTTCCACAAGGTTCAAGATGAATCTCCATGTCTGGGCAAAATGCATCTCTCAGTTAGTCCTGTTCTTGCCTGTTGACATGGAAGGAACTAATTTCACAAAGTTGGCAGTGTAACCATTCATACACCTTTTAACAGGCATTCATCTGTTGAGAAAGCATTTGTAATACATTCATAGCTTTTCTGTGCCATTACCATTTGTAACCCTATACATGTGAAGCTTATTTTCCTTAAATTCATAGAATTTCTGATCATGGTTACGGTTCAGTCTCAATTGTATGTTCCTATAGATGTATAATGCTGATGCATATGAGGCCCCATACCTCCTCCTGCTGGAAACACTACAAGTCAACCACTGTATCAATGCAGTGTATCAATGCTCTTTCTATCAAGCTTGTATTATTACTGTTGGTAAATGCAATTTTGCACAATTTTTGTACATATTCTGTAATGCAGAATTTATTAATGATGCATTAGGTAAACAATTTGTGTTTCATTTCATGTCTTATTTCTTGTGTTTTTACCTCACTGGGTTGTATGTACATTCTTATACCTGTACATTCTTATACAGAAAGTGTTTGTTGTACTAAATTTGTCTCTTAAGTTCTGAATCACCCTGTATGTCCCTATGTAGATTTTTATTACAGGTATCCACTAGAATTCATGATTCCTATTTTCTGTTCAATAATTTACATGTTTGGTAGTATGTTCTCAAATTTTGTCACCAAATTACAAAATATGAAATCTCTGATTTTAGTAGAGCTGTTAGATATGGAAAATGGCTTGGATACCTAAAATTTTCCACATTGCAGCAATATTATATGTAAAACATATACAAGGTAACCAAAAAAGTTCTTGCCGTTTTGGACAGTGAGAAAGAAAAAGTCATAAAACAAATAATAATCATCACTAATCCTCAAAGTAATCGCCATCGGCATCCAGTGCCTTTTGCCAACAAGTGGCTAGCTCTGCAATGCCATCGCGGTAAAACTCAGGGTCTTGAATGCAAAGAAGCCCGTGAGGGCATTTAAAGGTCTGGTTGGTTGTTGAAGGATTTCCCATGAAGGTGGTTGTCGAGGGAATGGAAAAGGTGGTAGTCTGTTGGCATGAGGTCTGGGGAGCATGATGGAGGGGTTAGTGTCTCCCAGCCCAGTTGCTGGATGGTGTCTCTGGCCTCCCGAGCCATATGCAGCCTCACATTGTCATGGTGGAGGAGTACACCCTTATGCTTGACTCTTTATGCATCAGTGCCTGATGCACACATTCCAACTGCTGCGAGTACAGGCTTGCCGTGATGGTTTGGCCTACTGGCAGGAGTTCATAGTGCACCACCTGGCGACTAGTCCACCAGATACAGAGCATGATCTTGTGTGGGTGATGAGAAGGTTTTGCAGTATGAGGCATAGGGTCTCGGGGTGACAGCGAATGTCTGGAACGCTTGGGTGTGTCATACTGAACCCACTTTTTATCGCTGGTAACTACTCGATCAAATATGGATGCATTGCGGTGCCAAGCAAGCAATAGCAAGCTGGCAGCGACATGCTGTTGCTTGTTTGCATTGGACAGTGAGTGTGGTACGTACTTGCTCAGTTTGTATGCCTTTCCTATGTGGTGCAAATGGGATCTGATTGTTTCATCAAATACCTGAAAGTGGGCAGCAAACTCACCACATGTTTGGCTACTATCTCTCTCTCTATGAGTGCTCTCAGGGCCTCATCGTCCAGTGCTTGTGGCCGGCCGTTGTGTTGTGCATCAGTAAGAGACATGTCCTGACCTGAACTTTTGGAACCATTGCCGAGCGGTTCGTTCGTTAACTGCATCATCCCCAAAGGCTTGGAAAATTTGCTGACTTGATTCTGCTGCTGACAGGCCCACTTTAACCCTCTCGCTGCGCATCCCGCAATTTCCACGGGCAATGTAAAAGTAGCAAAATTTGCGCAACCCGTGATTTCCACGGGGATGAATTTTTGCCGTCTATTTAACTGTGCAACTTGCTCTTTCCCTGTTCAAGGTTTCCTTTTGGCTTTTCTGTGTTGTTTAATTGTTTATTTAGATGTAGGCTAACAGATGGCTTTAGTTGTCCACATTTCTGCCAAATATATACAAGAATACGTAATGTAGCATTTTGCGCGTGCTTTTCAGACTTCAATGATGTCTGGCAGGAAGCGTTTCGCGTGTGATATAACTTATATTCCTGACGATATTTTTGACACTAATAGTAGTTCTGACTCGGATTTCAAGTATGTTAAAGATAGTTATAGCAAAACTGATGAGAATTTTTCAGATTCCTCTGCAGATAGTGATGAATCTGAAAATTCAGTTTCTGTTGAAAACGTTCGACAGTGGTGCAAAATTGGTATGCAAAATATTACATTATGCAAATATTTTCATTCAGTATATATATGTTTACCTTTGTATATTATAAAATAAATCATAATTTAACCAATATTAAATTTTCGAAATTTTCCTTTTATATCATTATTGTTCAATTTCAGTATTCTGACAACTTTTTTCTATGATCTAATTCTATATCAAAAAAACTCTTTTACAAAAATTTTTTGTATATTTTAACTCTAAAATATATGTAGATTTGAAATATGTAATAAAAAAATACGCAATTTTTGAACCTATTTTGATCAAAAAGTACGCAGCGAGAAGGTTAAAATCATACAGCAAACAACTCTGAATGAGTACCTTTGACGCATCCATTGCAATCATTCACTGTGTGAGTTAAGTTAAGTACTGATGCAACGTGCTTTTATACTCTTGGTCAATGTCTGGACTCCCATTCTAACCACTTCATCGCCAGGTTTGGTGATTATTTATATGTTGGGGTTCACTCTTCCAATGTCATATCAGAAACGACAAGAACTTTTTAATATATATATATATATTATTTGTTTGTGTTAATACAAAATAAATATTAACGTAAATTTGACTTGTTAAAAGTTCTTTTTAAAATTTTAAAAACATTGCCATGCGTTACGTAAATATTAGTCAATTTGCCTTTATTACTTGTAGGAGAAAAAATATCCTTAATGTGCTGTGTCACAATTATATAATCGAATTCATTCCTTATAACAGCATTTCTCAAACTGTGGGGGGGGGGGGGGGTCACACTACAGATTGTAAATAAAATGATAATGATAAAATGCGATAGATAGATTAAAAAAACTTTATTGAAATTTTATTTAACATTGACAAAGAAACATTCTAAGGACTAATGGCTAACATGAGCTTGTTTTAAGGCACACAACTTCTCTAAATTTGGTTCCATGTTAGAGATAGCCGCTTTGAGTTCATTTTCTACTTGAAGTTTATTTTTGTATTTAGATTTTAAAGCAGCAAGTGTAAAAAATCCAATTTCACAAAGATAAAACGTTAGAAAAGGCAACAGATTTCTAGGCGCTTTGTCTTTTATAATGGAGTAGTCGTTTTGAAGTTCAGTCTAGAAGTTTGTTAAAGATTTATTAAGAAAGTTTGACTTTTGTAAGGTACTTGTTGAAAAATCTATCAGTTGTTGTTCTTGTAATGATAGTCCGACAGGTCTTTTCTCAAATGAATTTAAAACCCAGCTCCAGTCTGACAACTTGATATCATTTTCTGCAAAGAAGTATCGTTTGAAATTCTCACTCAAGTTTTCTAAATGGCTTCCCACAGTTTCTAATAGCTCAGCTTTGTGATAATCTTCCAGTGGGGAATCTTTCACAAAACCATACAACGTGGGAAACATTTCAAAACTATTTTCTTTCAATTTGTTGTGCCATAACTGCATTTTCTTACAAAAAGCATCAATCTTTTGACTCAAGTATATTTACATCTTTTCTTTGCAGCTGAAGATCAGTTTCTGTCCATTTTTGAGACCTGATGTAGACTCTTCCTTCCTATAATGGGTCTGAATTCAGACTCTACTGGTTTTGACATTCATGGCATCCCTTGTGATCTTAATGTCATCATTCTGCATATGTATTTTTTATTTGTTATTCTGCAACACTTTAATTTGCACATTTGATTCATGTATCATTGCATTTAATCATGCTTCTAAAGAATTCGTACTAATGTATTTAATATGTTATAAAAATTATTCATCTTTTCAAATAGTTGTTTTTGTGAGAGACTTGGGTATTGGAGTTGTTGCTAAAGCTTACTTCACGCTAGAAGTTATTATTACTACTGATGTTCTGTATAACTGTGATGTTTTACAAGGAATTTTTTAACAGAAAGTGTAATGTTCTTTTTTTCTTTTTTTTACATTTGTACATTGTTGGCAGTATTATACCTTTATTTTCCAATGAAATAACCTTACTTTTTGCAGGCAGAACTGTGTTTTAGGAATAAAAAATGATGTAAGAATACCAATTGTATTTCGTTGTACCATGTTTGGAATAGATTGTTATTGTTCAGCAGGTCAATTTTAATGGTATGTTATCCAACATTCCCAATTATCTAAATTTAGTTTCATTCATGTTAGGTAATTGGAACTGTGTGTATAGTTGCTGTATTATATCACAAGGTTGGAAGTTTCATGCATTTTAGTCACTTTGTCTGGAAGATAACACTACTCACCACATTACTCATTTTTGATTGAATTTCCGTTCAAATCACTGAGAGTCTAGTAATCAGTGAAACTTGTGTTGTCTTCTCTCTTTTTTTTAAGGTATTGTTTTTAAGTTTGTATACAGTCAAACTTAAAAACGTCAGGACTTTGGTGATTCCGGATTTGGGATTTTTCTAGATATTAGATCATCAGTTTAAATCTAGTAAGATGACATGTAGAAATTATAAAATTAAAAATATGAAATCGTGATTTATGAAATAATGAAGTATTTATGATGTAAAGAGTATCAAAATAAAAAAAAGCTTAATATTTATTAATTATTTACCTTATTAAACATTTTTTTCAATGCAAGTTGTTTAAGCTGCTTCGTTTTTTTTTGGGGGGGGCTAATACTTTTTCTTTAATTCTGTAGACAGACATAATCTCTTGTTTAGTTATGTTGTTGAAGTCCTGTAACTGCTGTGTCTAGAATTCCGACTAACTTGTTAATTGAAATTTTTTCTTTTTCAGCAACTTCTCTGTCACTTCTTCACTATCGGTATTTTCTGGATTTAGAACCATACTACAGATTTTGCCATTCATTAATTGATTGATGATTGAGAAGCATTGTCATCACAATGAAAAAACTGCTATGTCATCTTCATTTATACACTTCTCCTGTCAACTTCATTTATTACCGCTTCACCACATTTCTTTACAAAATCCGTTAATTGAAAAATTTAACCTTTGTTTTGCGATATCCGAAAAACTTTAAAATGCGTGGCTATCATCATCAAATTTAGATATCATTCACTATACATATTTGGCTGTGCATCATGTGTTTAAAGACTATCGACAAGTTGTTCCGTTAAATTTTATCTTGCTTCTATCGTGCACTGAGACAATTAAGCTTGAATTGTATTAGTTTGGTTATTTATTATACTTATGTTTATTTCTTTGTTCTGAATAAATAACATCCCACATATACTTAAGCCTTATTGAGGGCCGGCGTTAGATATCTCACTGCCTGATGCAGTCTCTGTGGGTCGTAAATTCTGCGACCCGGTGCCACCTTACGAGCCCTGGTGCTGGTTCTAGGTTTATGTGAATAACAAATCAGTTATTCTTAATTCAAATAGCCCTAAATGTAATCTTTGGGTCTATGAGTATCATCAACAAAATCTATTTTTAGCATATGGCAAGAAATTTTTGTTAAATTTTTTCTCGTCAACATGTTTTAGCGCATTTAACTTAAATCAAGTGTAATGTCAAGGTTGCCGTACTCCTTTGTTATTCAATTACTAACATAAACAAATTCTTTAGGCATTGCTATATAGAATCATTACTCAAGTTGTCATGTGTTGACAAACATGCAGTGATGAAAGGAAAGTATAACAAATAATGATTCTCCAGGTTGGCGTCAGATCAACGATGTATCTATCTGGAATGTTTCAGTTTGAGATGTGTGCCAAGCAGATACATAGGAAGGGAGCCAAATTACTGATTGTACAAATTTGTGCTAAAATTATTGCTTCTTCAATAACAAGGTATTTTATTTAGTGTTGAAGTGAAATTAAGAATCAGGATTCTCCAACTGTTTCTATTATGCAAGGAGGAGGCGGGGGAATCAAATGTGCATGCTTGAAGCCTACCAATAAAACATTGTTGGTGGTTTTGAGGTCAGGCTTTTAGATCATTCTGGATAATGAACGTCCAGATTTCGGACTTTGTACTGTACTAATTTTTGTATTATGCATATTTTTTGTATGTTGATGCAATAAAAATAAACCAGATTAAAACAATATGATATATTGTGAGATTTTTGTTCTTTTGGAAAGATTAGCTGTATCTTCTTTCTCAGTTTTTATAACATACAGTATATTGCTGAGATATAATAAAAAATTTATATGCTATTTGGGATGTTTGTTGAAATTCTAAAATCTGATGATGTTTTTAATTTTTAATAGCATGTTTAATGCCATATGTATTATGAAAAAACATTGCTTACATGAAGCAAATTTATACTTTTTGTATGAATAATAGTATGTCAAAAAGAAGAATGTACTGTTGCTCATTATAATTTGTACTGTTGCTCATTATTATGATTATTATTTGGCTTTAATGAACTTTGAATTCTGTGTCTTTATAGATGTATATAAAAGTTTAGTACAGCTAGTAAAGCAGAGAGGTTTAATATCTCTGTGGCATGGATGGGTTCCAACACTTCTGAGAGATGTACCTTTTTCTGGTAATTTAAATTATAAATTTCTGGTAATTTAATTTAGGCCTACATTGCCTTATGATTACATAACAGTAAAATTAAATTGTAATCGTTTTCTATAAAAATCAATAAAAATTCCAAAATAAGAAGAAAGGAGCAAATATGTGTTTGAAGTGAATTGCATCTAATAAATTAACTGGCAGGAATTGAAATTATGTAATGAGCTTAATGATGCTGTTGGCAGTGATGTAAAATATCTGTTGTAATGCAGATTGGTTTGATTTGTTATCTTTAGAAAAGCTTTTACATGTGGCTAATTTTTTACTTTATTAGTATATTGAGATGTTATGGCTAAATTTTAAAATATAATTTCATTTCATGGAAATTGCACAAATGTTTAGATATTTCATTACTTTATATCCCTTTACTACAGGGTGTTTATGATAAATTTGACACTTTCATGATAAATATTTTGGGTGATAGGAAAAAACAGGGAATATTGTCCTGAAAACACATTTTATTAAACTCATGGAAATCACACATTATCAGAAGAATACGAAAAGCAGAATGACTCAAAGAAACCACCCTTTGTGGCCCCAGCTGCCTCAATGCGGTTCCTGAATCTAGAGCATGCAGCTTTTATGATGTCCGTAGGGAGAGCTGCAAATTTTGCCTTAATCCTGTCAATAAGCTGGGTCATTGTGTGACAGGCAATGCGGTTTTTGTGTTGTTCCGCCAGGTCCCATATATAATAATCCTTAGGATTGCAATCTAGGGAGTTAGGTGGGCCAGATGTCAAGACTGGTGAAGTCGTATAAATTATCACACAATCACTTCAGGGTCTTTCCATCTGTATGGAAGCGGATCTTGTTGTTATACGTAGGGTCATCAGCAGCCATTCTTTCCACCCAAGGCTTCACAACAGTGGATAAAAGCTCTCCACATATCCATTCGCATTTAGCCTGAGGTCTGTGGAAAGACATGTGGGGGCATAACATCACCGTCACTAAAGACATCTAAACACTAATATGGTTTGTGAAAATTTGGACCGCATGATATGGAGAACATCAGATAAATTTTGGTTGTCAGAACAGCCATCGGTTGTCCTGGTGCTTATGCGCCTGCTCTTGAAAAAAGTTCTTTTTATCATAGAAAAACCACAGTGTGTCTTGTTCAACCGGATGTTTCACTTTGTTGAGGAGCTTCTTTGCCATGGCAAGGTGGTTGCCTTGTGCTTTTTCAGTCAAGAGTTGTAGTAGCGATAATGAAGGTCCTTGTTCAAAGCCAGCTTCATGTTTGATTGCTCAGAACCCATTTCCGGCAGAGGTCGGATTCCCTTCCATGGATCTTCCTGCATAGTCTCTTGCAATTGGTCATGAATTTCAGTGTCCGACGACAATTGGGTCATCTTCTGAGAGCTCTTCTAGCAGCCATGCCATCATTGCACTACTGCCATGCTTTTCATTGCACTTCTGCATTTTCACTTCATATCGCTTTTATTGTGTTCAAAAAGCACTATTTAGCTGTCATGGATTGCAGAATTTTGTTTGCGGGCAATCGTTGTGATGCAGGTAAACCTTTTCCAATATTCTGGTGGCTTCCACCCATCCGTTGCAGTTCTGTTTGATTTCACAGCTGTATTAACCAAAGAGAAGTACTATGTGAGAATGCTAGCAATACTTTCAGACAACTGATATATACATGCAATAAAACGAACTGTCAAATTTATCCCAAACACTGTATGTAAGCCTTTATCCTATTACTGTAATGCTATTAACCCATTCACTGCCGATCACATACTGACACGGGATGGGCATTATTGCTGAAGAGCCAGTCACGCTTTGGCATGTAGTGTGGGGTGATGTCTCAGGTGCCAGCCATACGCTGATGCAGGAAAAGCAGTAGCTCATTGTTCATTTTAAAGTTCAATTAGCATTACGTTTAGAATATGTATGCTGTTATTGGTGTGGAGTGAAGATTACAAACTAGTTGTAAATGCGTGTGGTTTGGAATGAAAACAAAGTTTCATTTCATGAAAGATCATGCATGAATAAGATTCTGAAATACACTCACTTCTAAAAGTTAAGCACGGAGAGGATAATGCTAATTTCCTGAAGCCAACCAGAATTGAAGAGGATGCAATTTGTTGCAGAGGTAGATGGAAGTATGCAAATATGTTAGGTAACAGCCAGTCGTGCTTTCATGTCAAGAAATATGCAAAAAAGGCAGTCTTATAAGAAGCCAGCTTTATGAAGGGTTACAGAAGTTGATTATAAGTGCTGATAGAAGGTGTTTAAAACTTTCATACAATTTGTTTTCAAGACATATGCGTTTCTATGACTTCCAGAAGACGAATGGAAGATTCTGAATGCTGCCATGCTGCGGGCACATTGAAGCAGGACAGTCAATCACAGATGATGCGCTTTTCTTCGCCATTCATCATTCTGTAATTTCGTGTTTATGGAAACAATTCCGAACCACACAGACAGTTGTCCGAAGGCCCATAGCCGGTCGCCCAAGGGTTACAACATCCGTGGAAGATCAATATATTGCTATTGTAGCCAAGCAGAATCACAGAGCGACCTCCACATGTGTGACATCTATGGTTACAGCGTCCATTGGTAAGGTGATATCTGCAGCTAATGTACACCGAAGATTACATATGAGTGGACTGTACGCCTGGGTACTTCGAGTTTGTGTTCCTTTATTCGTCCAATCAAGAGGGGCACGATTACAATTGTGCCGGGAACATGTCAATTGAAATGTGTCTGACTGGGGCAATGTCATGTTTACTGATGAGTCAAGATTTGCTCTGGAGCCAGATGACAAGCGTATAAGGACATGGCGTGAACAACAAACATGCAATCAGTCCCAAAACATCACGCATTCCGAGGCAGAAGCATTATGGTGGCAGGGATTTCACTAGGATACTACATCGACCTGCACATCTTTAAACTGGGTTCTTTAATGGCTGTCCAGTATCAGGAAGTCCTAGAACTCATTATGAGATTGTATGCTGCAGCAGATGGATCTACTTTTGCTTTAATGGACGATAACGCACGTCCCCATAGAGCTGACCTCGTCAATGACTCCAGGAATCATCGTCGATTATTCTTGGAGAGTGAAGGGATTGCACATATGGCGTGGCCAGCATATTTGCCCGACCTTAATCCCATTGAAAATCTTTGGGATGTTCTCGGCCGTGCTGTATCTTCATGTTTCCCACCTCCAGCCACTCTTATTGAACTGGAAACTGCTGTACAAGAAGAATGACGATTGCTTAATTCTGCAGTGGTCGACCACCTAATTTCATGGTCACAAGGTGTAAAGTTTGTATACAGATTGGGGGGGATCACGTACCCTATTAATGTCCTTTTTTTTATTTTATGCTGTTTATTTTCACTTTATACATAATTCTATTTAAGTCTCCAGTATGTCATTATCTGATAACTTACAAAAATTAAATATTGTTTTCATATCTGTATATAATTATTGTTTTTTGTTTTATGTATAAATCTGTATGCTACTTTCCTGCCGAATTCTGTGTCAATCAAAGCAGTATTTGTTGATTTTTTTGCATTTTACATCTTTGTGCTTAACTTTTGGAAGTGAGTGTATATAGTTTGCAATAATATAATTATAACTGTCTTATAATAAATTCATTTGTAATATATATATATATATATATATATGTTTGCAATATAGTTTTATACAAAAATAATGTATATTTTTACTCGATTCATTTTTAAATGCTACATGCCAGCACGTAATGCCCAGCATTGCAGAAATAATTTTATCTTTAATGCCGATTATAAAATTATGAGGGTACACTTTTAGCTTTTAGAAACTATTTATTTACAATCTTAGAATGTATAATCACAGAGAACTGCAATACCAGCATAGTTCTATTTTCAAATCTGTCTGTATATAAGTGTTGCCAATTACAAGTTACTAAATATTAAATGTTACCATTTACAAATTATTAAATATTACATCTTCCGTTCTTCCGTATTTTAAAGCGTTCAAAAGTTTTAACAGTCTAAAATCAGTCCAAATACCTGGCCAGGTTTCTAATCACTCTCTCACATCATCCAACTCTCTAGGTTTCTTTAGTTCACCGTTCCTTGTTTCTGAGTTAGCAGAAGTTTGGTAGTTGATCTTCTAAACTTTGCCCTTGAGAATATCTGGAATCATATCCTTTTACATCGTTTTCTGTGTATTAACTCCTTGTTCTGTTCCTCTGATATTCTCTTTCAACAGCTGAACTGTTTTCTCTAATGTCTTTTCTATTTCTTCTCAATACTGATCCTACCTGATCTCAGTATATATGATCTAGGCGTCTTATGCACTTCTTCTACAACTGCTGGTTTCCAGCGATTATCTTGATATACCCGAACACAATCTCCTTTATTTAGCGATGGTGATGTTTTTGTATGACGATCATAATATGACTTCTGTTTAGTTCTTTCATGGTTGATTTTTTCTTTTATATTTTTCACAACTTGAGGTTTAAGTAATTCTTCAGATGTAGGAAGAATCGTTCTTGTTCTTCTACTCATAAGTCGTTGAGCTGGTGATCCTAGCATCTCATTAGTTGGAGTGTTCCTATGAGCTAACAATGCTAAATGAGGATCAGCATGATCTGCTTGAGCTCTTTTTAAGAATTTCTTCGCCGTTTGTACTGAATGCTCTGCTAATCCATTCGACTGTGGATGGTATGGACTGCTTGTTATATGTTTAAATTGGTATTTCTTTGTAAATTCTTTACTTGCAAACTGAGGTCCATTATCAGATATCACTGTCAGTGGTATACCGTATCTTGCAAAATGAGTTTTCATGTAACTGATCACTGTCTGACTTCAAGTATCCGGTAGTTTTGGAGATTTCAAAAAAGTTGGAACAGTAATCTACAATTAATAAATATACATCTTTGTTAATCTCAAATAAATCTGATGCAACTTTATACCAAAGTAAATTGGGAATTTCATGTGGTATCATAGGCTCTCTTATGTTTTTGTTCTGGTATTCATTACATATAGAACATTTTGAAATTTTATCTTTTATTTGCTTGTTCATAAGTGGCCAAAATTAAAACATCTCTAGCTCTTTTCTTACATTTTTCTATACCAAAATGACCCTCATGAATTAAATTTAACATTTCCTTTTGCATAGATAAAGGAATAATTACCCTTCCTCCTTTGAAAAATAAGTCATTTTCCATTGTCAACTCATCTCTGTAGTCCCAAAATACTTTGACTTGAGGTTCTACCTGATGTTTCCTTTCTGGCCAGCCTCTCAGAATATATTTCTTTAAGCACTGTAGTGTAGCATCACATCCACTTTCTTTTTTCAATTAATAAATTTTGTCATCAGATGCTGGAATCAGTGTACAAATTTCTGTATCTTCATCATTATCTTCTGTTGTATTCAAATATGCTCTACTCAAAGTGTCTGCTATTAATAAGTCTTTTCCCTTTTTGTATCGTACATCTAGATCATATTTTTGTAAATTTAACAGCATTCTTTGCAATTGCTGTGGTGCTTTAAAAAGAGGTTTCTTAGTTATGCTTTCTAATGGTCGATGATCAGTTTTCAACTGTAATACGTTTGCCATATATATATATTGATGAAATTTAGAACATCCAAAAGTAATACCTAAAAGCTCTTTTTCTATCTGAGCATAACTTTTCTGACTTTTTGTTAAGAGCTCTGGAAGCATAAGCAATTGGTTGATTTTCTTGTAGTAAAACAGCACCTAATTCTTCAGAGCTTGCATCTACTGAAAGAGTTACATCCTTATTAAACATCATAGAATTTTAAATACAGGTGCTTTTGGCAATCAAGTCTTTAAGTGTTTCAAAAGCTTTTTGATGCTTTTTCAGTCCAGTGCCCAGAGAACATTTTTTCTCAAGTAACTGTCTTAACCCGCGTGCACACGTAATAGTAGTCTAACGTAGGACGATGAACATTTGGCTAAATAATTAATCATACCCGACTAAAAATCTTTGTAGCGAAGGCACATCTGTAGGTTCTGGCATTTTAACAAATTGGCTTCCACTTTAGAAAAATCAGGTTTTAGTCCATTTTCACTTAACTCGTTGCCCTATATAATTCACACGATAACTTTTATTTTACATTTAGCCTTATTGAACTTCAAATTATTTTCTCGTGCTCTCTGGAGTACTTTTTTAAGTCGTAGCTCATGTTCCTTTTCATTAGATCCCCATATTAAGATATCATCTATAATACATTCAATGCCTTCTAGACCTTCTATTATTCGGTTTAATTTTCTTTGGCAAATTTCTGGAGCTGAACAAAAGGTAATCTTTTAAATTTGTATCTGCCAAAAGGTGTATTGAATGTACATAAATTACTACTTTCTTCGTCAAGCTGGATTTGCCAAAAATCACTATTAGCATCTAAAACAGAAAATATTTTTGCATTAGGCATTCTAGTGACAACTTCATCTCAATGGTTAATATTGGATAATGTTTCTCGTTTTTTATCGCTTTATTTATTTAAATCTCTAGGATCTAAACATATTCTTATTTTGTTCGGTTTGACAACAGTGCGACCATTGAATTTTACCCACTCAGTTGGTTCTCTTACTCACTTCTCAATAAACATTTAAATTTTCCATTCTTTGTAAGTTCTTTCTTAACTTTAGCTCACGTATAGCTATGGGTATTTTTCTTGGAGGATGAATTGACTGGTGTTACATCTTGTTTTAACGGGATATTATATTCTTCATTCAAACAGCCTAAGCCTACAAATACATCTTTATATTCCTCCAGTAGGTATTCAATGTAAACAAACATTACTTTTGAATAAACCCTAGTTCCAGACATGATTTTAATCCTAATATAGAAGGTACTTCATTGTCAATAACTTGGAATTCTACAACATAATTATTTTTTTTTTCCTTATTGACAGTTAAGTACTACTTTTCCTACAGTATCCATTTTATTCTCAGAGAATGTAACTAATCTTTTAATTTCCGACTTCTGTATCGAAACATTTAGCAATTTCACTTTGCTTTCAGAAATACATTGCACATTGCTCCAGTATCTAACTGCAAATTTAGTGTACTTTTATTTACATCAACGTCAACAGTCCATTTCTCTTCTTTGTTATCTGAATTAAGGTTTAATGTGCCAACATAAAATTCTAACTCTTCCTCAGAGTCATGATTTATTAATTTAATTTGTCTATCTTTTTTGTTTACCTTGACTGCTTCATTTTGTATGATATAGCTTTTACACTGATTCGCGAAATGATTTGCCTTTTTACATTTATGACAGATTTTTCCATATGCTGGACACATTCAATACTCATGAGATGTTCCACATTTAGAACAAACTTTTGTCTTTTGTTTATCGGTATTTACCTCTTTGTAGATATTCTTATTATGTTTACTTAGTTTCTTTTTCACTAAGTTTACAGCAGTTTCCTCATCTTTTATGATTTTCATTTGATGTGCACTTATTTCAGCAGATCTGCATACATCAAGAGCTTTTTCTAATGTTAATTCTGTTTCATGTAACAATCTTGCTCTCACTACATCATCATTAATACCACAAACAATTTTATCCTTTATTAAACTATCCGTTAATTGTGCAAACTTGCATGTTCTAGCTTTATTTTGAAAGTCAGTTACGTATTCATCTATGGTTTCCGATGCGGTTTGATTTCTAGTAAAGAATAAATGTCTTTCATATGTAATATTTTTCTTATGAATACAGTATTCCATAAATTTTGTTTTAATTTCACTTAATTTAATTTCTTTACCCTCTTCTATAGGAAATGTATTATATATTTCAAGACCACGAATTCCTATTACAAGAAAAGTATTAACTCTTACCTTCTCTTCTTTATTATGTAATCCACTAGCTACTTCATATATTTCAAATGATTGCAGCCATCTCTGCCAATTCGAAGCTATATTTTCATCAAAATTCATCGGCTCTGTTGGTTTTAAACTTTCCATTTTGAAAGCAAAACACTCCTGACACCATATAAAATTATGAGGGTACAATTTTAGCTTTTAGAAACTATTTATTTACAATCTTAGAATGTATAATCACAGAGAACTGCAATACCAGCATAGTTCTATTTTCAAATCTGTATCCAAAGTATTGCCAATTACAGGTTACTAAATATTAAATGTTACCATTTACAAATTATTAAATATTACACTGATAAGGTGTTGGTGCATAGTCATACAGTTCTTGCTTAAAGGATTAGTAATCAATGTGGTACAAATAATAATCTTTTATTACCTCTTTTAAATCACATTTCTTGGCATATGGGAACAATATATTTTTATGACACAACATTAACTGTCAGTGCAATCTCGAATGACCAGCAGCGAAAGTGTTAAGCTTTAACTTGCAAAGCTTAACTTGTTAAGTTTAACTTGCAAAGCATGGGCTGGGCCTAAAGTGTTCCACTAGAGGAGTTGATTTTGAAAAGGTTGTGCTAGTCAGAAGTTAGGGAAGTGCAACCTTAGACATTCTGACAGCATTGTCTGAAACACTGGTTTTTCTTGAATGCTGCTTATCCATCTTATTTGTGGAAAATATTTAGCCCATTGTGTCTGGAACTTGGAATGTCCATTATACCTGGAATTTGAGAAGTAACCATTGACTTGATTTTGATTCATATTTTCTTGTTTTATCAAAGCATCTGAAATATTAGTTTTCGTGTGTTTACCAATATACAGAAACTTACTTTGTTTGTTTGGTACAGGTTTTATAAATGTGCTCAAGTATGTTGAAATATGCTTATAATACATAAGTGCATTATGAATCCTTGAGTTAAAGACTTGAGTTGATAATTTTGGAAGTGTTATAACTAGATTATCTGTGGTGGTTTCATTTTTGTGTTGGCTATTTTGTTTTCTGTAAATATAAATTGTTTCTTAGGGTTAGGTGCTGAGCTTGTTGTGCGGGAAAGATACTGTATAAAGTGCTTGGATCAGGAACAGCTGTTTCTGACATGATAAATTTAGCGATTAAGCTACAGAACTCATCATCCTGAGTTCTATACCCAGTCAGAGCAAAGTAGCCATGAACAGCAATCTTTACAGCTATTGTCATAAGACTGGCCAGGTTTAAAAAACAGCTAGCATAAAATATGTGCAGCAGTACTACTACATTGCTGACTCTAGGAAGTGAATGGTTGCTTTGCTGCTGCTCTTGTCATACAGATAACCAGCTGTGTTGCAGCAACATTAATTGCAGACTAATGCAGCCATGCTGAACTCTTTCACCCCACAACCTAGTGGCGACACACATACCAACAGACTGGGGTCTTTTGATTATACTCACGAGCTCACTCATGCCATTGTATGGGCTTTCTATCAAGTTAAGGTATTGGGAGAGTATTTGAGACACTATGCTTACCTTGTTTAAAAGATGCTGCCAAAATTTCTCACATCAAGGACGGTTGTTTTTGTCATGAACAACTTAGCAATCAAGGTATGGAATTTGATCTCTCTGGTTCTATACCCAATCAAAGCAAAGCAACCATGACTAGTGACTTTATTAAAAAAAAAAAAAAAAAAAAAAATGCAAGTTCTTATATATAATTTTTTCTTTAAAATCTGACAGCTGATTATATTTTTTTATTTATTTTTCATTTTCATTTTATTTATTTATTTATTTATTTTTTTTAAATTTCAGCTATATATTGGTCAATATATGAGCACCTGAAGTTATTGAAACCAGAGCCTAGTTTCACGCATTCATTTGTATTTGGAGCACTTTCTGGAACTGTAAGTATTTATTAAATAACAATGTAAAATATCCTTTTTTAAATTACTATGAAGCAAATTTCAATTTTTTAATTATGGAGCTCAACTGAAAGTTTTATTTTTGTAATCTAAAAAAGTTAATATATATCCACACTCTGATGTGTGTGATTTCACTGAAAACTGCTTTCAAAATCTTTTTTAAACATTTTAAGTTATTGGCATAAAGGTGCTAGCAAATGAAAAGAACTGAAGTAAATAATTTCCTGATGAAATGTTAAGCTTAATAAGTTTTGAAAAGCTTAAAGTGGAAAATACAAAAAGGGAGAGACTTGAAAGAGGAATAAGATAGGAAGTGTATATCTAATTGCATGATTTTACATTATAAGCCTTCTTAGCCTATTTCTCCCACCTTCTCAGCATGCCTTCGTGGTGTAGTAGTTAGCACGCTTGATGCGTATTCGAGAGGTCTGTGGTTCGAGTCCCAGCGAGGGCTTTGCTCATTTTTCGCATCTCCTTCTTCGAAATAACCTAATATCTCTACAACATGTTTTTTTCCTTTTGTAAAATTCCCTTTTGAATCAATATTTTCCTTAATAATTTATTGTAACCAGTCCATTTTGTAAAAACTGATGATAAGGATTATAACTTTTCAAACTTTGTGTAAACATTATCGTATGTGGAATATATTTTAGTCTGATCTTATGATTAATTTAAAAAGGAATTTTTTTGAAGAGAAATACCGAAAATTCTAGAAATATATTTCATTTCTGTTGTATGTTTCTTTATCTTATAAACATATAGATTCATATATATATATATATATATATATATGTATATATTTGAGAAGAAAAGAAATATGTATACTATATATATATTAGGGGCGTTCAAATGAAAAGTTACAAAATGACATTATGGATATATTAAAGTCTTTATTCACATTCACAAGTAATCATCAGAGGCCTAAACACAACTATCACACTGTTTCACAAGCCAAAGTATACCCTCTTCTTCCTGTAGCTGTGACAGGAACCAGTCCTCCACTGAGTATTTTGGTTCATCATCTGAGTTGAAGCTCGTTCCTTTGAGATGTCACTTCTCACCAGGTCATTCACATTGTTGATGACTTCAGAAGTGATTACCGTGTTTGCCTAGCCTGATCTTGGGCCATTTCTCAGGCACTTCGAGGCCTTCATGAAAACTAGCACTCTACTTTTGCACTGTTTTGTCAGACACACAGTCTGCCCCATATACAGCCATCATCCAGTGGTAAATATCGGGCGGTCTAACCCATCCCACAGTTAGAAATCTGATAACACCTCATTGCTTCTCAGTGGTCGAATTTTGCTATGTGAACACTATGATGTCCTCATACTCCCTGCCACATCAGTTGGATGAAAAACAGAACTGTATGCTTCACTCCTGTGCCATGTGTGGGCAACCGCATATGCATACAACCACGCCGGCCTCTACTTTCATGTCTTTAGATGTCTCATTAAGTTATGCCAAAGTGGCGTATTCAAGTTTCAGCCAGTTTATTTGATACCTTTCATACCTTTTGACTTGAACACCCCTTATATATATCCAAACTTTGAGCAGATGTTAAAAAGTCTGCTTTTCTGAAGGATTTAGGTTAGTTGTCAAAAGAATAGTGCATTTAAGAGTTTGATTTACACTCCTTTTATAAAGTTAAGCATGCAGCATAACTGGAAATGTTGTTTTGTTTATTGAAAATTTCAAATGAAGATTGTCAGTTTGCATGACCCCCCCCCAAAAAAAGTAACAAAATACATTGAGACAGATTTGTAATAATTTATTTATGTAACCTTGCAGGAAAAAAATTGACAGTTCTATATCTCCCATTCTAATGGGCCGATTCACGAAATTCAACTTCTGTTGATTATGCCTTGAAAGCACAACTTAGGCTATATATTAGATTTGTGTTGTTCTAACATAGGTATTTTGACACAAAATTAGACTTCTGAAATTACATGCCGATTTTTTCCCGTTCTTGAAATTGGATTCTATGACTCAAATTATGCCCAAATATTAAATTTCATAAAACATGGGGAGAAACTTACTGAGAATCTCCACTTTTTTTCAGTTTGCACCAAGAATAACTCATTTGGTGAAATTCTTAAATTTACAGAAACCCATTTTCCTTCCCCCTCTTTTTTCTGCAAGGGCAGATAAAAAGGTGCATTTTTCATACTTTCAAATAATTTTAACAAAATGTATAAAGCACATTTGGCATTATTATTGTTTATAACAAATATGCCAAATTTCAAAATGCACCAATATATAAATTCATGTATGTCTTTGGAAATTTTGTATAAAACGCTCTTAATTTTTTATAGGTATGCCTAGAAATACATCTACTTTAAGATCATGGTAAAAATTTGATATGTTATAATTCAAAAATTAAAAATTTCTAAAAAATATAAATTTTCAAAACAAATGAAAAAAATAGTTGGAATTTTATTTGGATCGAACCTAAATTTCAAACTGTGAAAAAAGGAATCAAGTAAATTTAATAAAAAAAGAGATAATAATAAATATGTACTAAATTCAATTAACATTGAGGAGCTAAAATCTTGAGAGCTAATTTTTTTAAAACTACTCGTGTGATTTTTACAAAACTTGGCACTTTGGCATAATGTGATTCATAGAATCAAAATATGGAAACGTTCAGTTGTTAACTCATCTATCAAGTTTAGATTTTCCACTTCTTCCAGAAGTCACTGTTGAGTACAAGTTTGAACGGCATTTTATCTTATGAGTTTGTACTACTTAATCTTGTCATGCTTCTTCAAATAATGCAGCTGTTTTGGTAACTAAAAGGTACCATCCTTGTTGTTGTTGCTTATGCGTACATGTCTGATGTATCAGCCCAAGCCCATAAAAATCCTTGTGGCAAGGAGCGTCAGATTACGATTGCCGTTAGTAACAGCCTTGAGCACCTAACAAGTGACAGTGCGATTTGGCCGCGTTCCGCCCCCAATTTTGGTGGAGAGTACCTCGGGAGAATGGGTCCGAGTGTCTTCCACTTCTCTCCCTTTCTACCAAACCACACTAGAGGGCTTTCGGCTTGTCGCATATTTAGAGTGCCGCACTGACACTACACATTTACAAGCATCCATGCCTTCTCCAGGATTCGAACTCGGGCCCTTTGGAATAGCAGTCAGTAACCACTATACCAATTGAGCAGCTATACCAATTGAGCACTATACCAATTGAGCAGCGGTACCATCCTTGATCTAATGAATTACTTAAGACTGCAGCCTTTATTGTTTGTTTGCAAAATGAAATTCATGCTCTACCTCTGCTAAAGGTAAGCATGCTGGATGTTCTACAGATGTTCGTATCCATGTTATTTGACTCATGGAAAGTTCTACTTCTAGAAAATTAAGTTCAAAGTTGCACCAGTATTTCTAAGTATAGGCATTTTATAGCCATCTACTTTACCTAAGTTGTTGCACAGAGCCATAATGTCAAAGCAAAATTCACTTGAGGCTACATTCCAAATTCCTGTTGAGTTTATCACACTGAGGTTGGAGATGGGAGTGGGATTCATTTTCGTTACAATGAGATTTTCTTCATTTTTCAAATGCCTTTTCATGAATCTTATAAATAAATTCTGTCTTAATTACAGGCTTAGTATTAAAATCTTTTGAGATTTCTTTAGGATTTTATCTATTGCGATAGCTATTGCATTCTATTCCCATTTTGATGACCTTCTTAAAGTTTTAAACCCATTTTTCTAGGATTTTCCTTCCTAAAGCTTTGCCTAATACTCTCATATTTGTGTGATTTTTCTGCTAGGTCATATGAAGTTTTTAATTTCATTCATTTGTCAAGAAAATGCTCCTTTACTTTCTCTGAAACCTAATATTTAATTTGTTTAGTATCTAAAGTCTTTCAGATTCTCAAATGTTTTAATTTCAAAGTCCACAAGCCACGCAAAAAAAAAAAAAAAAAAAAACTCTAAAGTTCATGAGCGTAATTTCTCCAGGACTTTTCGGGAGTCTTTTGATGTTGATAAAAAGCACTGGTTCAACTTTTCGCTGTTATGTTTATATCTTTTTAAGATTAGATTTTTAGCATAATCGTACATAGTTGCGTCTTCCGATGGTTCTCTGTTTAACATATTGGAAATTTCAGCAGGTAAAACACCCAAAAGATAAGCCACCCAATCTTAGAAACCTGAGCCATTTCAGCTCTTCTCTCTAAATTTATCGAATATAGTCCCATTTCATCCTTTTTTCATCAGACATTGACGTAATTTGTACTAACTAGATTTTATTACTCAATTCTACTATATTCGCTTTCGATTCTTTATCTCATATCTCTTGATATTGCAGTTCAAACCTCTTTAAAATTGACTTCCAGTGATTATTTTTTAAAAATTTCTAACATCTTACTTGTAAGCAGTACATCCTTACCTAATTCTTCAGCTACATTTATTAAATCTTGTTTTCTACCCTTGGTAAGAAAAGACATCGTTGAAATGGCAAATTCTTCGGCAGCATATCAAAATTCATTTTAAAGAGTTTTTAGTCCATTTTCAAAACTTAAATCAACTGCCATAATTTAGCAGTTTATGTATTTATTTTTGGTTTTAAAATTAGAAATTCAAATAGGACACAATTTATTTTATTTCAAAGAAACATTAAATACAATAAAAATATGCACTTTCCATTCAGTAAAAATTTGCTAAGATTCCTCTTAATAACAGAATACTTTGATAAATAAAAAATGAATGCCTTTAACGTAATTCACACAACAAATTTTTTTGATTTGATTTAAGCTCTAATGCAAGAGCTCAGAATTGTTCACACAATAACATTTTTTTTTTTTTTTTTATTTTGGGAATTTAATGCAAGAGCTCATATCAAAATGGGAATATTCCAATATTATGTAGTAAATTTGCCACTCTAATACAAGAGATGAAATAAAAAAAGAATTTTAATCCTAATAATCAGTTTGACTCTTTAATACGAAAGCTCAAATTTAGAATTTCATGCTTTTAGTTGAATTCAGTAATGAGATAAAACATTTTCATAGAAAATGGCAATGTACTCATAGAAAGGCTGGTACTCACGCATCCTGCATTCATTTCATTTTTAAACATGAAGCCTGGTTTCAGTTTTCGATTTCAGCAACTACCACCAGATATATTTAATCTGTAGTAATGTTTGTAGAGAATTTCACCATTTTGGTTGAAATTAAACATCTTTATTTTTCAAGCTTATGAATACTGAGTCATTTTCACTATGAGGATCTTCAATTCATCTTCAAGTGAGCATCTTTTAAGTGCAAATACTTCTGCATTTCTCATTGGATATTTATCTCTTAGCATAACAATGCAAAGACATTATAATATTAAACAGTGTGTAGCTAGATGTTTTTTGGTTCTTAGAGGAATGTGTTTAACCCAGTTAGAAGGGATTTACTACCAGAATAGGTTAAGTAGTATTTTTTAATCAAAAGGAAAAGTTGCTATACATTATTCTGAATATTTTCTAATTATTCAGTTTTTTTATTAATAATATGGACAAACACAGAAATATGGTATCCATTAAATTGTCCTAAATTTTTACATATTGAGGTTTAAGTGTTGTGCAACTTGTTAAATAAAAAATACAATGAAATTAATTAATTTTTTAATATTGACTTTTGCATGCATATACACAGTGAATAAAATCAGTGTCACTCATCAAAAGAAATAAAAACTGTTGGTAATGCATATTGCACAGCAAATGCAAAAAAAATCTGTCCTCTTGATCAGGCAAAAATGCAAGTTACATTTTGGTGAGATTTTTAATGTTTTGCTTTTATTGAATATTGTGAGTTATATTTACACATATTTTTGTTGACTTGTATTAATGTTTGATGAAAAATTATGTGCTGCTTTTGGCACCTGATTTGAGGAATTGTAAGATTGTAAAATCATCATTGATTACACAGTGTATCTGAAAATAGATAAAGATAAGACAATACAGACAAAGAAAAAAACGAAAATGTTTTGATGCATTCTTTTTATAATATAAATGTTCATTTTTCTTGCTTTGCATGTGACGCTGTCATTTTTCTGTTACTTATTTAAAATTTTAACATTGTTCTATGGCTTAAAATTAGAAATTAAAGTTAATGACCTAAAAATGCAATAGTATATTACAATGCAAGTGAAAAAATTAACAGTTTCACTCACGTGTGTGTCGAATTTGCGCAATACTTATGGGGTCCCACAAATTTTTTGTAAATATTATGAGGTCCTGGGGGTCATGAAAAAATCTCAGTGATAAAAGGGAGTTATGACTGAAAAAAGTTTAAGAAACCCTGATTTGTATTAAACTTACCGCACTTGTTAGGTGCGTAATCATTTTGATACTGAAACCAGAATGTGAACAAACAATATGGAGTTGTAACTTCTTTAAACACAAATGAAGCCATAGCGTTCTCTTGCAGAGATGGGTGATGTCTTCAAAAAGTGTAACTTGTCATGTCGTTGAATTTTTCTCTGTGCTTGTTGCACAATATTGTATTCTTAAATGCAAACACAAGTTGTTGCACAAATCATTTGGTGCAAAATTGTGCCATATTTCTGGCAGAATAGCATTAATCAGAAAGTATCCAGAATGCCATTTCATCTCAGGATTTCACTCAGTAGTTCTGAAAAGAGTCATTCAAAATTAAGACAATATTTAGAATTTTATAGGATATTCTAGAAGCTCTAAATTACCATATAAAAGTAATATTGTAGTTTAGGCTTTGCTGGACTGCAAGCTATTTTGGATCGTATGTGGCCTGTGAATTGCAAATTAGATGTACCTGCATTAGATAACTCTTTATTAATTTAATGCATAGTGTAATGAAAACTTATAACCTCATGTCATAGTTATTAATTATCCAAGCAGACAAGAAATATTATGGTAATTTTCCTTTGCTCAGTCAAACATTCCTAATTTGCTAGGAGATGGCTCTATTTTTTGTCTCTAATTTGATTCTTTTACTTGTCATCTGTAATTTTCATTTTAAATATTTAGTGTATATTTGCTGTTTTAGCTTTCTAGATACAAAATTTGATTTTGTAAAACCTCGCTAATTGAAGGTACCTTTAATATAATCAGAAGTTTGTAGCATATCTAATAATATGCTTCATAGTATAATAGGTAGAAGAGATTTTTTTTTTATTAGCAGGATCTGAATTACTTTTTTGCGTACCGAATCAGTTTATTTTTCATATGCACACATTTAATGATATCTTATTAATATATTAACATGTAAGTCTTATTAAATGCTTTTATTGTTTTAACTACTTATTTATTTCAAAACACTAGGTAGCTGCTGCTTTTACTACTCCATTTGATGTAATAAAAACACATCGTCAGGCTCAGCTTGGGGAAGCTGCGCTTTTGCACAGTAAGATGCTCTTTTCTGCATTTATTTTAAATACAAATATTTTTTTTATAGTTCTTGAAATTCAAAACTATTCTTAGCTCATTCAATTACAGTAGAACTCTGATTACCTGAAGTAAGTCACTTATACCTGATAAGAGACTTATTGGCCGGCCGGGTCCTAGAGCAGAGAGGCTCTAGTAATCCATCGGTAGCATCCTGTGTACGCTGGGTAATCTCCCTCTGCGACGAGCAGCCCGAGTGACTGGCAGGTAGCATCTGGGTGACCAGCATTGCTGTATGACGATTGGTGTCAATGCTCTTTAAGATGTGGGGAAGAGGCTGAACCCTCAAAACTGTTCTGAGGGTGCATTGTCCATGTAGTGTCAACACTTGGCAAGGCGAAGCATGTTAAAATAAAACTAGTTACCTGAATCAATGGGCACTGATGCTGTCTTCTATGATTGAAAATTCGGATCAGATGGAAAATTAAGACATTTTAGATTTAAAACTATAAATATATATATTAAAAAAAAATTGCCCATTTATATATTTCACTGTCACGCTGAAACTTTTTTTTCATTCTTTTAGTAAACTTTAATATTAATTCATTTTGGGGTTTAAAAATTTTTTTTTTCCTCTAATGCATTATTTATTCCATAATTATTAATATCAGAGTTTTAAGGAGAAAAGTGTATATCAGTGTAATTACATTTTGTTAATAAATGTTTTTTTCTTACATTAAAATTAAAATGTTAAAATTTAATAAAGTAATATTATGTAATATAAGGGATGTTAAATAATAATGGGTTGACGAAATAGCACTGAGGCATATCTCCTTTAGTAATTTTTCTGCTGGAAAATGTACTAGTTCTAATTATCAGTTGGAATGTCCGGTTTGAAGTTAACTGGGAGTAGTGCCTTCTTCAGTCATAGAGGAGACCAGCATGCCACTTCTTATCAAATGATTTTTCTGTATCTAAAAAGCAGGCAACTACCTTGTTTTTCTTTGTTAATGACTCTGCAATAAATTCCATAACATTTATAAGTAGATTTACTTTTCTGTGTCAGTAATACTTCTTCTTTTTTAGTAGTCAATCAGTTTGATTTACAGAATCCTTTCAAAAATTTTCCTTAGCAGGGAAGCGAGCTAGCTGACTGATCTTGTCGGGGTTCTTTCTCCAGTTTTAGGAAATTAATGATAATTGTGTGCTTCCAGCACTGTGGAAAATAATTTTCTCTGAGTCATGCATTAATTATATTTGATATTAAAATTTTATACTTCTAGTGAAGCTCTTTTATTTACTTGTTAGATATTAAGTCCAATCCCTCTTCTTCTCTAACTGTAAAATATTTATTTATTTTTACTTCTGTAGGTAAGATAGGTAAAATGTAATTCACATCTAAGCATTGTTGTTATGTTCACCTCCTTGTGGAATGGGCTGGAAATCAAAACTCTACACAATAAATATAATGAATATTTTACTTTTGCTCCAACGTACAAACTCGAAACACAACTCACTTATATCTATGGAACACAATTACAATAAAAATAATCACTTGTTGCCACATCTCTGAAACACAATCCCAGAAAACTTCATTCATTTAAAAGTAGAAATAAATTATTTTAAACTTTTTTATGAATAACAGGAGCATACTCTTTCGGGGAGCAATGGATGGCGTAACAATTGTTATGTTCTCGCAGAATTTTTGAATTTCTTTTTCAGTTTCTAGGTTAAAAGTGGGATTTGGTTTGTTTCCTCTAATGCTATGGCTTCAAGCATATCTTTTGTTTTTTAATAAACTAGTCTGATTTGGGTGTTTAGATGTCTATTTCTTACTGTGTATGGGCTTTTTTAATGCTTTAGCAATTTTCCATGTTAAGTTAGGCTCATATTCTGTGTTTGTAAGTAATTCTTCCCATTTGCTTGATCTGTATTCACTGAATAGTTTGGGAATTGCGCTGACTTTTCAATTTAATGTTATTTTTAGTGTTGGGTTTCCTGTATTTCTCCACTGCTTGGCTAATATATTTCTGTCTCTGATTTTTCTCATCCTTTCTGGTAGGGATTTATAATTGCAGTTTTCTTTAATTATGGTGGGTGCCTGGATTATATTTCTAATTTTGGTGTTGATTTTATATACCTCATTTATAACGTCTGAAATATTGTTGAGTATTGGATTTGCATCTGGAATTTCAAATTGGTCTTGATTTTTTGCCAATTAATTGTGCGTTTAGAATCATGCGAGGTTTGTTCATATCCATTCAGGATGAATTTGACTGGCAGATGATCAATAACATTTTTTGTGCCACTTCTAAATACACTATTTATAGTACATTTTTTGTGGTTACAATATCTAAGATTTTGGAAGATCCCATGAAATGGTGTCTTGTAGGATTTTCGGATGCGTGCACATTTAATCTATTATGTATGGCATAATTACGGAGTACAATTTCATGATTATTTGTTGTGTGTGCATTCCATGTAAAGAGTTTTGTTCGAGGTCATGCCCCCTACTATGATTAAGGGAAAATTGGTATTTGTTATGCAGTCAAAGTCTATGAGTTGGTGCTGGGCAAGATTATATGCATAGATGAAAAGATATGGATCTCCTGTTCTGCTGTGTATATAATCCAGCAGTGTGCGTAATGTACATATTTCCCACTGTCTCATAAGGCATAATTTCAGGTGGTTTTTGTTTATAAGCAGAGTACCACCTCCTCTGTTGTGTATTCTGTCATTATGATAAATTTTAAAGCCATGTATTTTAAAATCTATCTCAAAGGCATAAGTGTGTTTCATTTATGAACACCGTATTATTGTGATGTTTATTGATATAATGCTGAAGTTTTGTTTCCTGGCTTTAATTTTGTTAGCATTAAAATATGTAGTATTTAAACTACAGGTAGTAGTAATAGTAGTATCAGAGATGTGGATGTTTCAGCAATGGGCATTATGGGCCATCTGAGTTCATAATAAGATAGAAATCCTCCATTCCAATCTACATTTTATCCAGGATGGCTCTTGAGTTTTTTTTTAACCTTTCAAAAAGTGATTTGACCTTTAAAAAGTTTTTCAATCCAAGTGATAAAGGTTTGAATATCAGCATTTTTGTCAGGCTCTTATTTTGACTCTTCAGGGTGGTTTCTATTTCTGCTTTTGTATTAGGCAGTGGCAGAAAGTTATCTTTGTCACTGTAGTGAATTTTCCATCTTAGGATACTTTTCATAGTGTTACGGATTTGGTATTTAAATAGCTTGTGTTAGTAGAATTGTTAATTAAATGGTTTTATTTTCCGCCCAGTGCAGCGCTTGACAAATATTAAAAGAAAGCTAAGCCGGAAAATTGAAAATACAAGAGCTCGTGCATGTAATCTATCTATAATAATAAAAGCAAGTGTAATGTGCCTGTCTGTCTGTCTGACCGAGCTCTCCAGCCAAATCTATCGCACGCAGGGACCTGGAATTTTTTATACGGAAGCACAAAGGGGCTGGCCACCAGACCTCGAAGCCCGATTTTCGATTTTTGAATTAGAAAAATTTTTAAAAAAAATAAAAGCAAGTGTAATGTGTCTGTCTGTCTGTCTGTCTGTCTGACCGAGCTCTCCAGCCAAATCTATCGCACGCAGGGACCTGGAATTTTTTATACGGAAGCACAAAGGGGCTGGCCACCAGACCTCGAAGCCCGATTTTCGATTTTTGAATTAGAAAAATTTTAAAAAAAATAAAAGCAAGTGTAATGTGTCTGTCTGTCTGTCTGTCTGACCGAGCTCTCCAGCCAAATCTATCGCACGCAGGGACCTGGAATTTTTTATACGGAAGCACAAAGGGGCTGGCCACCAGACCTCGAAGCCCGATTTTCGATTTTTGAATTAGAAAAATTTTTAAAAAATTATTTATAATTAATTAATCACGGTTTTTTGACTCACTGATATTATTATTTGTTTTCAAATAACGTTCGATTGTAACAATTGATTTCTTTATTCTAGCGTTAGTTTGCTGTTTTGACGATACATTAAATCGATTAATTACAATTCATTTCTTTTTTGTAGCTTGTGGGGGGGGGAGAGAGAGAGACAGTCTACATGTCCTACACTACTATTCCTGCGCTATTCATTTTCTAAATGCACGGGCAACGCCGGGCGGGTACAGCTAGTATTTAATAAATATCTCTTTTTGATTTCGAGAAAGTACTAGAAAATTCTCGCGCGCGATTTTTAAAATCTTATGAAAGGAGGAAAACCTCTCAGTTCATAGTAGTTGCTTAGTTTGTTGTTGTTTAGAAAACTACTCATATTGACTGTAGCGAATTCGCGGATTAGCTTTCTTTAGCTGTTTTGAATTAAGTTCTCTTGAACGTTTGAGTAGTTAAAAGATAACTACTGTGAGATATTGTAATACTGCACGAATATTTTAGGAAATTTAAGCATATTTGTTGTGATAATAATAAATTTTTGTTCATTTTTCATCGGACTTGTGCATTCATTTTGTAACGAACCCGTATACACGCAACAATATGTTTTGGGGGTATTTTTCTGTCTGTATGAAGTGACTTGTGGACTTCTGCACAGACAGCATTTTCCAAGTGGTTTTCTTTTTTCTGCAGCTAAGAATTTCTTGAACTTCGCCACAATTTACACACCCAGTTGGCAATGGGATTTATTTTATTTTTATATGGGATTTATTTATTTATGTATTTATTTATTTTTTTGCAGTTAGGAGTTTCATTACATTCACCACATTTTATGCATCTAGTTTTATGGTGGCTGTGGATTTACTATGTCCGAACTTCTGACTATTGTGACTGCTTGGGGCTCGGCATAAGTTTGAAAGGCGTAACATAGATTGCAAGATCTATGAGATGTGTTAAGTGGTATATTTGCTATTTGCGTTTCTATATTTGCTTTGGACTTTTGGCATGTCCTCTTGTAGTTGTGACACAAGCCCTAATTTGAGCTTATTTGAGGTACACTACTCCCATCTCAGTGATTTCAGAAAAAAAAGAACGGACTGTAGATACTTTCATGGGATATTGCACAAAACACATTAACCTTAAGGGAATCACACTGGTATTGCATTGGTGCATGTGGAGATTCAATACCTCAAATTCTCATGTTATGTTTATTTACTGATCCAGAAATGTGAAAAGTTGATTCAGCACTAAATACTAACTTTTTTGAAAATTCATCATCCTCCATGTCCGTCAGAAGTGTCTCACAGAAAGATAACTGACATGGGATTTTAGATGTTGCACCAGCTGCAAATGGTACGGTTTCATTTGCAAATGTCTCCTAAGAGCTCTCCACACAGCTGTCTGGGCTACTGTCAGTTCTCGTCCAGCTTGATTTGTCCATTTCTGAGGGCTTCTCGCATAGCCAGCTTCAATACTCTCAACTCTCCTACTTAATTCTCCTACTGAAGGGAGACCTGTTGATTTTCCTTTACAAATGCAACCTGTCTCATGAAATTTTGCATACCAACAACGGGCTGCCTTATGATCCGGTGCTATCTGTATTTTGTTCAGAAGTGGCGCTGAACAGTGACAATAGCCTTGCTAACATGGAACTCAAGCACACAAAATGCTATTTACTGTTGCGTTGCCATTTTATGAAGGCATTTTTTTTTCTGCCCGTTTTATTTTCACAGATGCGCTGATGATGATTGGACTTTCAGCGCCATCTATTGGCAACTATTCAAAACTTGCTTATATTACCTCTGCATATATGTACATTATTAATGAATACATTTATTAGTACATTTTGTGTAGTATGCCTATGAAATTGGGGCATTGATTTTGACTTATCCTGTATTTAAGTGGCTTGCAATAAAATAAATCCATTAATCAAAACTTGTTTATTAAATTTATCTCTAGGCTAAGTATAAAATTTGCTTTGCATTTAAAGCGTGATTAGTCCACTGAGTAATGTGATTGATATATTTTATGTTTAAAGTAAAATATCACCAAGCAGGGTATGGCATAAGTTGTTCTAAAGTATGGAAACATCTTTTTGTTTTAAAAAAGTTATAAAAATCAAAACTAAATGTTGAATACTAATGATGAATCGAACCTGATACTGTCTGTTGGAGGATATTTATTTCACTGCCATCTCAAATCTTCATACTTTTCGAGAAGGGAAGAACACATACATGAATTTAAAACAAAGTCTTTTCAATGTGGAAAAATGAAATAAAATATGTCTGTTTCTTCTTAGTCATAATGATATAATGAGCCTGAATAATTTAATCATTCTAGGTAATCTAGTGTGGCATTTATAAGCAAAGCGTTAGTATTTAATTCCTGCAACAGTTTTATGATTACACTGACAAAAGTATATATATTTTTTTTAACATGTTCAAACATGCACTTGCTACTATCACAGTAGATAAGGTATTTAGTATCCATTATGCTGATCCATCCTGAGTGTTGTAAGTGTTAGGAATGAAAAGGTGAATAGATATTTCTCTTTTTTTCTTCAAGAGTTTTATGTGAAATTAATTTAGGTAAAAATATGTGCCAGAATTTTTACACGAAGCATGATAATTGTAAAAATGTTTCATTTTCTGATTTTACATTTAAAACTTTGGTTTATAATCTATTTGCTTTACTGCTTCTTATGCATTTTATAAATTTACTGCAAATTTATACTTTTAATTTCTGTAGTAATTCATTCTGCTTCCTTTTTCAGAAGCTGTAAAGACTAGCACCTTTTCACTGATTATGACCCTATATAGACAAGGGAAAACAAAATCACTCTTAGCAGGTATCAAATGATTGTTTAAACATCCTTTGATAAATAAACATTATGACAAATTTATTTTAATGCTTTAGTTGCATGATTATTTTAATAGAAGAAAATGATGATTTATTAATAGGATCTGAATAATATCACAGAAACAGAACTCAGAGGAGCTTACCACATTAAAACATTTGAAAGCTTTATCAATTCTTAATATATTCTTTGTATCTCTTTGTGTAGAATGTGAAGAAAAGGAGAGCACTTGAAATAAAATAATTGAATAAGTGAAGATTAATAGTTTAGTTCTGAGATTTGCTCTCTAGAAACAAAATGGTTATGTGAGGTTTCCTACTGTTCATTAACATAAATAGAAAAAAAAATATATTAAAAGAGATGCATGCTTAGGCAGATAAATTGCATGCACATTTATCTTCCATAAACAACCAAAACTCCGTTCCTGAAGGTGAAGCAAACTGAGAATCACTGTACGTAAAGAACGTGCTAAAATTTAACAGAATAGCATTTGAAAATTTTTTGGGAATGAGGCAACAGATTTTGCATAATCTGTATAAAAATACCAAACAAAGCAAGAATACAGATTAACCATATCTATATCTTTTCTTTAATTTTTGTTTTGGAAACCCAACTCTTCAAACAATTGTCTAACCATCAACAGAATTTAAATTGCAATGTTTTTAGTGTTACATAACTGCCACCTTTCACTCCCAGTTTTTCATCGCATCTCTCAGTAGATCACCAAATCTCTTGATTTTTAATTTTTAACGTTACTAAGGAAATGGTTTTCAGGCAACAAATGAAATTTATTGAATTAATTAAACATGAACTGTATAAATTCTCTCTTCTTACTTGTAGTGATTTTCAGTAATATCACTTATTAACTTTTATTTGATCTGAATTGTCTTAATTTTCTCTTAAACATTTTGTTTTACATCAATATATATAGTGCATGATTAAATATATCCATACAGTAATTTGTACATTAATTATTAATGTAATTTTATAAATAAAATCTTCCTTCACTACTCAGGATTTTTCTAGTATGGAATTGTTAGAAAATAACAAAAATCAGCTGAAAAACATTAACTATAGGATATCCAATTGAAAATTATTATGTTTTACCTCAGAATCACTTTGTCCATATGTAGGAAACATTTTTGCTCTTGGGGAGGGGGGCGGAAGAATCTGCTACTAAACTGATGCGTCCCAGCTTTTTTTTTTTAATTAGCCAAATTAAAAACAAATTCCATGCTTAACCCTCTGACTGCTCAATTTATGGACCGAAATCACTTCAAAAATTGTGTATTTTTTTTTTCATATTTTAAATCTATATATATATTGGAGAATTGAAAAATGCATTTTTCCTTTCTAGAAAATATTTTTTTATATAGATTTTTATCATGAGAAACCAAGTTGCCAGGAAAAAAAAAAGCTTTTTAAGTAAATTTCAGTCAGATTACAGTTATTTTCTATTTATTGCATAATATAAAAAAGTAAAATGTATAACATTTAAGAAAATATAAAGCACTGAGGGAAAAAATACATTAGAAATCCAGTTTAGCATGATAGAGTTCAAAACAGGGTTCAAGGCAAAGTCCAACTTCAGTCTTTGCACCAGATTCATTAAATCTAATTAATGATCAATCTAATTATTAATCTAATCAATAAATCTAATTAATAATTCAATAATTTAATTAAATATTCAAGATAATCGCTAAATGTTTTCTAGCAGCAATTTCTGTAAGAAAAAAGAGGCAAAATGTGGAGTTTGAACGGTAATACCACGTGCCTTTTAACGCCGCAATTTAGTGGACAACTAACGATATCTGTTGGCCAAAACATAAACTAAACGTCTAATACTGTATATAATTTATTTCAGTGGTTAAATAGGGAAAAAACGGGATGCGCTCTTTATTAAAGGAAGAAAAACGCATGCCTGCGGAAATTGTAGGATGAGCAGATTTTGCTACATTTGAGTTGTCCGTGGAAATCGTGAGATGAGCAGCGAGAGGGTTAATATGGCAAAAAGCTCTGATTTTTTACCTTAGGAGGCATTCAAGTTGATTGGAGGAAATTTTTTTGCTGTTTGAGAAAATGTGTCACATTTTTTGTTGGTAGACCTTGTGATGACACAAAAAACCACAACTCTTCGTTCTTCATTATTTTTTTTTCCTTTTAAAAAATTTTGTTTACTAAAGGTGGTGTTTTTGTGTATTTTGTATCAAAATTTTTCAAATTTTCAGTAGTAACATATGCAAATTTCATTAAAACTCCTTATGGAGGAATTAATTAAATTAGTGTCCTGTCATTATTAGCATGTTTCCAAGCTATATTCAGATAGTTCAACAGAACTTATTTACTGCCATAGCCCTAGTTTCTTTCAAAGAGTTCTGTATGCAAACTCTGTATGGCTAACACCCCGGTAGGAGGCCAATTTGATCGGTGACTAGTAGTAACAGATGAGCTTATTTAGCATTTGGGCTGCATGTTTAATAAGCCTGCTTTATGATGGGTCCATAAAAGTTCTTACATATCCTTTATTTTCACAACTGTTGATAATAGACATGTATTTCCAGCTGCAAAATTGTTTTAAAGAAACATATTCTTGTTGTGGCATTTTTAAAATTAAAAGATAAATTTTGTGAAAATTACAAAATCCAACTTTTCATATAATTTTTCAAATCATAGTTGATAAATATTTATACTAATTCTAAAAAATAAAACAAAAAATGGGAACTTTTCCGTTTTGCCGGCACAGGCGATAAAATCGCCAGTAATAGTAAAACTGATGCCAAACGGAATATCCTCCCTGGTAACCTTTTAAGTCTCATTTTCAAAACAATTCGCAGCTATTTCTTATCATATTGATTGTTTCTCTCAATACTGGTGTACAATTACATAGAAGTTTTGCCTAGATAGTTAAATTTTATGCCCTAAGACCATTTGGGGTAATTAAGTCAATTATGATGCAATCATACGGCTCACCCGAAGACGAAAATGCAGAAAAGGCAAGGTCAAGGATTAAATTCATCAATTCTAATGACAATGCACTAACAAGGTAAAACACTGCAGTTACATAATTTTACATAATTTCTGAGTAAGCTATTAGTACGAATTGAAATAATTCTTGCATTTAAAAACTTGTATTCCAAATTAATTTAACTTCAAATTAATGTAGATAATTACTGAGAGAATTAGATTTTTGTAGTGTAGTTTACGTGAGATGAGATCACTTGGGGGTCACGTGATATGAACCGACGAATCAGGATGCTGAACCACGAAAGCATAGTAAATTCTTAAATTAACGTTTTTTTTATAAATTTATTAGCTTTTTACAAAATTTTAAATTATATTAAAATTTAAAAAATAATGATAATGAGATTCAAAATAAAAAATTCTTACAATTAGCATTTGTTATGTGTATACTATATGTTGTTGCCAATAAAGTCTGCTTGGTGAGATTTGTGCCGGCGAAGCGGAAAAGTACCAAAAAATGCTTGTTTTCATATGACAAAATTTGACTAAGATATTCAGTTTTGAAATTTGAGGTCATGTTTCTTGAAAATGCAACAGTCGTATGTAATGAATACTGAAATATTTAAATTTGTATTTATTTAAAAATGAAATATCTGTTTAGGAAATTGGTTCTCATGTTATTAGATTAAGTGATAATCATTGGGATGCAGATTGCCTTAAAAGGTTTGATCAATACAATTTTTTTAAAGGAAATCATGTTCTCAGAAATTTGTAGAACTTGTGATCTAGAAAAATTAACAGACTAAGTATTGTCATATATCTGACTTGTAACATTATTTACATAAATTAGAAATGAAAAATATTTCTAGTACAAAGCATTCTTTAGTATGGAAGAGATTAAAGTTCTAAAATTATAAAATTTCATTTCAATATATTAGCATATTATTATCATTTGGAAATTTATGAATTATTTGTGAGAAAATGTTTTCGATGTACAAACAAGTGTAGCAAAATTATAAATTTAAAGAAAGCTAAACTTAATTTAAAAGGAATATCATTGAATGACACTAAATAGGAAAAATGTTAACTTCAGATAAGCATAATTTATTTTTTAACCAATATCTTAAAAAAAAATTAATACTGGCAGTAAAAAATTGAAAAAAATCTCAAGGAAATTTTTGCCAATTTTAGTCATATAGGAATTGCACTTTTTATGTTCTAATTCATGGCATTATCATGAACTTGTACTAAAAATAACTATATAGACCTTGTCAAATGTTAGATTTCATAATTTTTGTAGACCTATATATTTTTAATTTAAAAGTACTGTAACAGGAATATTTGTGTCATTTAAAATACTTTTACAGCTGTTTAGAATAGAACATGTCTTTGACTGGCTGTGAAACTAAAGACTGTGTAAGGACTTTTATGAACACATTCTATATGGTGCATGCCGAGATCTTCCATGCCATCTTGATTGAAATACTGTCAACTTGAAGCTAGCTGTTTCAAATTTGACACAATTTGTTATTATGTGACACGTCGTTTGTAATTGTGTTGAATTTATGAAGGTATTTCCATGCTAAATTTCTGTCATTGCCTTACCAAATCATAGTAGAAACTGCTTGATTAATTCATTGATTGTTATGGGGTTTCCCACTCTCTGAAAAATTCAGAATAGTTCTGAAAAGTGAGAGAAAGTAAAAATGGTCATGGAGAATATAAACCTTTTTTGAAAAATAACCCCTCCCTTCCCAAAATGTTAATAATAAAGATTAGTTTTTCACAAATAAAACATAGTTCATGTTTTAAATAATAATCAGTTAACAAAAGTTATCCATCTTGGAGGAAAGGAAAACAAGAGTTTTTCAATTTTTGTGTTTCTTGCAAAAAGTATTTTATTTAACTTTGTATTAAATGTAATTTTATCAACCCAGTATTGTTTTTTTCTTTTTTAACACGCATTAATGATCTAAACAGTTCAACCACTTTCTTTAAAAACATAACTGTTCTTCCATTCCTCTTTTTAG